TGCAGTGTTTTTACTAAAAGTGCTGCATAAAGGAACATAATAATAAAGTAATAACACATGCATAACAACCCCATGTTTTGTTATCTCGTATTCGCTGGTTTATCTCCGCTTTGCTGTCAATGTCAGGTGTTACATAACGTGCATCATCGTTAATCTTTTATTTATTTATTTATTTTTGCATTGCATGTCTTGCAACCAATATCTTGTTTTCATTTATTGAAATGGCACAACCTTCCCAATATGTTGCACATTTGGTACCTCTCTTAGTATCTTCACAGCTTTCCACTTTAACAACACTGCATACGTTTGATTTGATTTAGTACTTTTCTAATAGTAAACTGTACGTAGTTTTTTGGAACATCCAGATTTCATGTTAATCATTTTCTATATCTTTACGTATAATCGTTTTTATAGAAGAATCAGAATGGATTTTGTAGGTAGGCAAGTAGTAGTGTAAGTACTCTTACATTGTGGGATAAATGCTGCATACAAAAACACAGAAAGAAGAATACGTAGCAAACATTTTTTATTTACATTCTTTTTTTTTTAAATGAAGGCAATATTTACACAAAATATAATTATGTGAGATGCATTCCTCCTCCCACCATTTTGCACTTTTCTGCACAAACTACCAATGATCTTTTATTGTTTTGCATTGCATATCCTCTTTGTGCTCCGTACTGCAAACAATCACAACCAGAGTCGGTTTTGTTACCAAGTAGGTTTACGCATAAGAAGAATTGGCTTTGGTATATATATGTGGTGCATGCAAAAACAGAAAGAAGAAGGAAAACATTTAAAATAATAAGTATTATTATAAGCTATTTAAAAAGACGATTTCATGACTATTTCAACAAATATATAATAATATTTTAGTTTTGCACTTTTCTGCAAAAAAAGACCACTTATCTTTTATTTATTTATTTTGCATTTTGATAATCCACACTGCAAACATTCATATGTTCCTTCAACTATTTTGCACATGTTTGCACAAACTACCGCTCATAAATTAGATTTATTTTGCAAATGTTTCCTTTTTCCCTCTCTGTTCTTCTGCTGCAAATGTATATTATTTGTGCAATACTTTATCGTTGTACTGATAGCAACAGGTTAAGGCACAGGCAGGACAGTCATTCACTGTTATCCCTAGCAGCAGTTTTAACGTTGTTTAACTAGACAGTTTGGGTCAGATTGTGTTTGTGTGTGTTTCTCCTACCCAGCGGGTCGGGATGAGTCTAGGGGAGATTTACTGGTCTACGTAAGAAGCTTAAATAGTCGCACACGCGCACACACGCACACGCACACAGACACGTGCAGATATTGACAGGGAGAGCACACTTCATATCCAGGCTGTAACATGGAGTGGAAAAAATAGTCAAAATAAAACATGAAACTGCAAAAAACACATACAAGTCGATATAGGGATTAATGTCACATATCTGCTAGGGTTGGAAATATATATAGATATGATATCATATTGTGGGGTAAGACTAGATATTGGAGCAGTCTTTTCCAAGTTTAAACTTTGTTTTTTTCCAAACCTACCAGACTGATCTAGCTGTTTGATTATTTCCTTGTACCAACGTTGTCGTTATATTCACATAATGATTATTATTCATCAAGAAAATCATGTTTTATCTTTAAATATTTAGTGAAAGCAGTAATAGTCAACGCTACAATGACGTTGCATTATCGATACCGAGATATTTGTTACTGGATTTGAAGTTCATGACTTCTAGGTGGCTCTTTCTAGGCAATATGAGACACTTTCAGCAGGAATGTATTGCAGGAATATTGTACAAAAAACATGCCAGGGGACATTAAAAAACTGGGCTTGCATTGCATGTAAACATATCAGAAAGAGTGGGCTCAGATCTAACAGATAAAATGCATATGCTCATGGATGAGAGGACGCTGATTTTGTCCCATCAACACATGAAGTAGAGTTGCTTGTCTTGTCAATCTCAAATGTGTTCAATAATTGTCATTTGGTC